CGTGGTGCTTGAGGAGATTGATAACGATCCTTCAACCTCTACGCGAGCAATAGCTCGATGCACAGGTATTGGAAAATCGACCGTACACGATATTTTAAAGAAAAACGAATTCCACCCTTACCACGTCACACGCGTGCAAACTCTCCAACCAAGAGATTATCTCTCAAGAGTGCGTTTTTGCCGGCAAATGCTGGCAAAGATGGAAGAAGACCCGCAATTTTTTAATAAAATTTTGTGGAGCGATGAGTCAACGCTTAAAAGAGACGGTTACTTAAATTTACACAATTTACATAGTTGCGAACTAGAAAATCCCCATCTTATGCGTGAAGACAGGTCGCAATATCAATTTAAAATAAATTATTGGACCGGAATATTAAATGGTATGATAATTGGCCCATTTGAATTGCCGGGGAATTTAACGGGGCAAAGTTAATTGGAGTTTCTTCAAAATGATCTCCCCAATTTATTACAAGAGGTTCCCGAGGAGCTAAGGGAATCGTATTGGCTGCAAAATGACGATTTCCTGCGCATTATGCTGTTCTGGTTCGTGCATATTTAAATAGCAGATACCCAAATAGATGGATCGGACGTCTAGGGCCAATTTTGTGGCCTCCACGTTCACCGGATCTAAATCCTTTGGTTTTTTTTTACTGGGGCTGTCTGAAAGAGGAAGTATACTGTAAGCCTGTGCGGTCTTTGGACGAACTACGCAGTCATATCAGAGCAGCCACATCAAAAATATGCGAGCGAGGGTACACAAGACTGCTCAGAAGATCATTTATCCGAAGATGTAGGGCATGCATAAGAGTGGGAGGCAAACAATTTGAATTTTTTTTTGTAAATTAATGAAAAATAAAATATTTTAATTTTAAATGTTGTTTTTTATTAATCCCCAACGATCAGACACAATTCAATTTAAAAAATGTTCCCATATTACAAATTTTGTTACTTAGTCAAACTTTCTCCTTTTCTACATTAATGGCAATAAGTCACTATTTATGGAAGATACATTTATGAATTATACCATTATAAAATCTACATGAAACCGACATTATTGTAAAATTATTGGTCACCCATACATTCATACATTTTTTTCATACTCAACAGGTTTGAACTTCGCTTAAATAATATTTTTAGCATTTTTTTCAGAAATAAATTAATTTGCGAATTTTTTAAATAAAAACTGCAAAAGCTATTCATACTGTTTACTTTTTATCTATCATCACAGTTAGTGTATAATAATAAAACAACAAAAAAACCAATAGAAATCGTTCATTTTTGGTCATAGTGTTCAAGACAGTAAAAGAAGATAGAAAAAAATCGACTTTTCTTTAAAAAGAATATATCGAAGGTACTACTTGTGATATATGTTTCGTATTTTTTTTAGAACGACCATAAGTTTTACTATAAGACATTTCAAGGTTATCCATTCATTACCGGACCCGATATATATATTAAATATAAACAAACAAACTGATTTCATTTACGCGGATCTTGATGAAAAAAGAAGGAGGTATTGTATCCGGCCCAGCTCCCTTGGGAAGAATCAACGCTTTTAATTACATTAATGATTTTCTCAACAGTAACTGAGTCAGGAGCTAGGGTTGTGTTGACGCGGACATCGATAGAGCTAGTGGAGGATTACATTATTCTATATGTTGATACCCAGGATGCTGATGCTAGCTGAGGCAGCAAGGAGAGTGCCCTGAAAAGGAGATACGACAAAGTAGTTCTTTTTAGCGGTAAACGCGCAAACTTGTGTCTTCTGGGGATTGAATTGGAGTAGATTTAGTCGCCTCCAATTCGAGACTGTTATACAAAGTCTCAACTTCAGACACAAAGTCTTTGTTGTACAAAGTGTCGACTTCAGACACAAGTTTGTTCCGGTACTCGGTCTCGTCCGCATAGCAATAAATGTTATCGGTTTGCAACAAACCATTGATATGCAGATGAAACACGTTGCTGACAGCACGCAGTCTTGTGGGTGCTAATTTCAAGTCTATTAACGCTGGTGTTAACAGGCTTGAAATCGGAGCATGCACCGACTTCTACGATCTTGATACTCCGATCAGCAAGGAAACTGGTAATCCATTTGCACTATTTCTCGGAAAGCGCATAGGAAGGAAACTTCAAAAGAAGCTCTTTGTGCCAAACTCGATTAAAGACCTTCGCTATGTTTAAACTAACGGCCATTGCCTCCCCTGGACTCTACTGCCTTCGTCCATCTATGAGTCAGGTAGACTAGAAGATCACCAGCTGATCAACCCCGACGGAAACCGTATTGGCGGTCAATAATCAGCTGGTGATCCTCAAAGTACCTCATAAGCTGGCAGTTTATAACGAATTCCATTCTTTTGGAGAACAAGGAGGTGATGGCAATAGGCCTGTAGTTGGACGAGTCAGAGTGGTCGCATTTTTTAGGGATTGGGTGGATCAAAACTATCTTCTATGAATTTGGGACTACGCCCTGAGAGTAGGAGTACCAGAAAACACGCGTTGAAACCTGTATCAACTCTGAAGCACACGTCTTCAATACAATGGGAAGGACTCCATTAGGCCCACTCGACTTGTTGACGTCCAGGGACAGGAGTGCTTTGCAAACCGAGCGCTATGTAAACCGCATATCCAGCGTGTAACACTCACGATGGCCGGCGATGTAATCCCCCCGTCATCGAGTGTCGAGTTGTTTTCTTCTTTGCGGCATGGCGTCGTCATCCCTGTGCATAGGAAAAGATGCCTGACAGAAGTTCTCTTGGACAGCCTTGGCAAGAGCAACTCTTCGAATTGCATCAGTCTTCTGGGCATATTTCTTTATCATTCTTTATCACTCTTCCTACATCATTCTTCCTGTTAAGACCGATTTACACTTAGACAAGTACTGTAGCGAGTTAACTTGCGAACCTGGCGAGTTAAGTTTGAACCTCGTTTGAACGGCAATAAGCGAGTTAAGTAGCAAGTTAACGATTAAGTTGAACGGGATAGCCGGGCGAGCTATTTTTCGGCGAGTGCAATGTGCTTCCCTCCCGCGCGTCTTCCACCACACGTAACTAAACTCGCCATTGGTGTAAACGAGCGAGTTTATTTCAGTGCATAAGTTGACAGGACGCAACGTTTGCGCGCCAAAACGAACAATTGTAATTTTATAATGAAACTCGCCACAAAGTTTGTACGATACTGTTTATTGAACATTTATACGTTTTATATTGAGTTTTAATAATAAAATGGACGGAAGATATCGCGTATAAATTCGTACAGGAGTATTTAGAACACGAATGTTTATATAATAGTAGAAGTTCAAATTGTAAAATTAAACCTGCTCGAGATGTTTTAATTATATAAAAGTTTGAGAACTATTAATACTTCTCTGACTGGATCATTTAATTCTTGACGTAATCCTAGGACCATCTTAAACGAAAACCGGAAAAAATCTGTAGTCTTGAAATGTCATACTCCAACGAACTCTATGAACTAATGTCCTTAACTAAACTCGCCACGAAGACATTGTTTGAACGCTACTGTCCACTTAACCGTTTACTGTCAACTGCCCTGTAACTAAACTCGCTACTGTACTTGTCGAAGTGTAAGATCTCTCAAATTAGCGGAGCTAAGTTGTCTTCCAAACTTATCCCATACATGCACTATGGGGTTTAAGTCAGGCGAGCACGCTGGCTACCCCACAGCATTGATTTCAACGTCTCGAAGATATTTTGACAACTACAACCACAGTATGAGGGCGTAAATCATCATACTTACATAAAAACAAATCTATCTTAAGTTATTTCCATAAATATACTAATCCAATAAAAGGGAAAAATGACACTACAATTTCTTCCAAAATCTAGTTACATATTGTGCCGCTGTTAGTGACCCATTCTCTATGACGCGGAGTCCCGTACGTGCCCGGTTACTCTTTCCCAATGATTTTGTACTGAGCTTACTTCTCTCCCGGGCGTCTCGACACTTTAATCCTTCCAATATCCAGCTTCGGGCAAAACCTGGACTCATCTGTGACTTGAACTTGATTCCAAACTTCGTCATTTCAATTTTCGTGATTCCGAACATTATTAAGTCTAGCCACTTGATGGCATATGGCTAGAAGGGGAAAGTGTGAATTTATTCCGGCTGATTTTAATCTTTTTTTCACAGTTTTTGTGCTTACTGCGAGGACCTCGTCAGGCGTAATCGGTGGCACGAGTCTATGGTTCGGGAGTTGTTGGGGAGGGTGCACTTCCCGGTGCTGAGTATTCAGCAAAACGTGGAAATAAGAGCGCCATCTCTTCTTCACCGCACGATCATCGTACAGGAGCTCGCCATTAGGGCCGTTGACGCTGCAGCAGCGAGTAATATCTTGCGCTGCTTTGGTCCTAGAGCCCGCCAGTTTATATATGAGTTTGTGCCCCTCAGGAGTATCCAACTTAGCATAAAGGTTGCAAGTGGTCACGCCTGGCTCTGGCTACAACTTTATTGGCAGCTCTTTTCGCTGTCTTGTAAGATGCGCGATCTTCAGGAGATTTGGTCGCTTGCCACGTCTTAAGGAGCGCTTTCTTCTCCCGTAATGAACCCTGGACTGTGGCGTCCCACCACCAGGTCTCCTTGTCGGTTTTGCGACCCCCTTTCGCCACGCCGAGGACTTGCTTTGCCGTCTTTGTGATTGCTGTCTGAATGGTTTTCCAGCACTCTTGGACGGACTTGCCTGCTGTGTCGAGACTAATATCCCGGCAGAGTCAAACTCTGAGTATGTGGTTTGATCCAGCAGCCACCACTTGATTTGACGGCGGCAATGTTCGGCGTGTCTGCGATGGGGTTTTACGTAGAGGTCTATGAAAAGAAGTCGGTGTTGGGCAGTGAGACACTCACCGGGTATAAACTAACAGTTGGCCACGCGACTGATATGACTTCTACTGGTCAGTAGATAGTCGATTTGAGTGGCGTTCCGACCGCTCCTGTAGGTAATCAGGTGCTCGGTTTTCTTTTTGAAGAACGCGTTCACCACGGCCAGGTCAGCTGCAGTGCAGGTTCTGAGAATGGTTTTCCCCTCTATGTTTCTTTGGCCGTAACCATAGCCGCCGTTCATACTCCCCCTGCACCTCGCCCACATGAGCGTTCAGGTCGCCACTCAAAACGACATCGTGGGACAACGGTATGCCGCATAGTACATCTCCGAGCCGATCCCAAAACAGCGTCTTATCTGCGTCGCTGCAGCCGATCTGTGGGGCGTAGGAACGTATTAAGTGGGTCACGACCCCCTCTATAAGCAAACTTACTACCATAAGTCGGTCGCATATGCGTCTAACTTCCAAGACGCTATCGTGGAAATGCTCGGCGAGCACCACTGCCACACCGTTCTCCCCACCAGAACAGCCTGTATAGATCAGCTTGTAGCCGTGCCCAATATTCCGGTTCCTGTTGGCCTTCCACCGTGTCTCCTGCAGGAACGCCACTGCCACTTTACGCCTGGCAAGTATGGCCGCAAGTTCTGTGGAGCGTCCCGTAAGCGTGCCAATGTTCCAGTTTGCAAAGTGAATCTTCGTAGTTGTTGCTAACGTCCTTAGCCGGGCTCGCACGGGGCCCGGTAGCCCTCGCATACTTGTCGCAGGGTTAAGACGATCCCCGTGCTCGTCGTTATGCGTCGACGCCCTAGTCCTAAACGTATATCTCTTTCTTTTACTTTCCAGTTCTGAGTGGCTTAGTGCCAATTACCGGGGCGACTGCCGTCTGACCCCCGAACCCCTAGGACGAATCCCAGGGGAGTGGCATCGCCAGAGCCCTTTCCGTTGTCCAGCAGGTGCGCCACGTGCAGGCGGGGTTGGCTTGGGCTCCAAGATTTTGGCGGAGCCCCTTACACCCCAAAAACTCAATACTCAATAATCGTAATGATAACTTGAAAATTTTCGAAATAACACAGCACATTAGCTAGTTCTCTTAATCAGTGACACATAACACTAATACCCTTAGGCAGGATCGGTGACGTCACGACAGTGTTTAATATGGCGGACAGCGTTTCGCAGATTTGAGGCACAGACAAAAAATTTTTAAAATTGAAATATAAAATTTATAATGCTATTTTATAAACAGAAATCAATATTTCTCGTATACTTTTTACAAAATCTATCATTATAGTCAACCAAATCTAAGAAATACATTTTGACAGCTGTCAGACATATTGCACCAAGCATGCCAACCAAAAAATTGGAACGTACAATATTCGATAAAAAAAAATCGATATCGATTATTTAGAGATGGTAATCATTTGCAGTTTGGGTTGAATAATACCAGAATAAATTAGAAACGGATAATTTAAAACACAAGATTTATAAGTTTCTTCGTATCTTTGTTACTGATTATTTCTAGGGGCAAAGTTAAAAAATTTAATATTGGAACTAGATTAAAAATAAATGTATATAATCACTTTCAGTACAACTAGTTGAGCTGTCGTTGTTTAGATTAATTATTATTTGATATTCAATAATGCAGTCAAAATTAATGTCTCTTTCAAAGTCATCCACAATCAATTTTTTTGTTCTTTCTACCACTTTTGCACCTATAAACTAAAGCGGTAGTAGACTCATGAAAAAAGACAAGGACAGCGAAAGTAAGAAGTGCTGGGTTTGAAACCGCCTTTCAAGTATTGTCGAGAACCATCTTCAGCACTAGTTCCAGCAATACTCCTGGAACTAGTATGTAGAGTATAGAGCATTACTTATGCTTATATAGCAATAAAGTAAATTTCGATGAATTATCAAAATGTTGAATTGTAGTGGACAATAACAATATAATAAATAAATAATTTGCATACAAGTTAGAGCCACCCTGCAGCTTTATTATTCTTGTAGTACGAATGGGTCGGTTCAACCGGGGAAGGACCACGCTCTCACAGAATACCAGCGTAAAATACAGAGCTTAATACTTCTGTGTTTCGTATGGTGATTGTAAAGATCCGGAGATCCTTTTTTACTGGAAACAAGGCATTTTTATACGTGGTAGAGCCACGCTGCAGCTACATTATGGTTGTAGCACGAATGGGTCGGCTCGACCGGGAAAGAACCACGTTCTCACAGAATACCAGCGTAAATTAGCAGCTTAATACTGCTGTGTTTTGTATGGTGAGTGTAAAGATCCGGTAACCCTTTTTTTTCTGGAAACGAGGCTTTCATACGGCGGGACACTCCCTTACGAAAGTATTCCATCTTGGTCCTCAGGGATGACAACGAATTTGCGTTTTGATTTTAGTCAAGGATAATTGTAGATGTCTATGGGCCGCAGAATCCACTTACCATTAGATGGACTGTGTGCTCTTTTGTCAAACTTACTCTATAATTGTAGATATCTATGGGCCGCAGAATCCACTTACCATTAGGTGGACTGTGTGCTCTTTTGTCAAAATTAATCTATAATTGTAGATGTCTATGGGCCGCAGAATCCACTTACCATTAAGTGGACTGTATGCTCTTTTGTCAAACTTACTCTATAATTGTAGATGTCTATGGGCCGCAGAATCCACTTACCATTAGGTGGACTGTGTGCTCTTTTGTCAAACTTACTCTATAATTGTAGATGCCTATGGGCCGCAGAATCCACTTACCATTAGGTGGACTGTGTGCTCTTTTGTCAAACTTAGTCTATAATTCTAGATGTCTATGGGCCGCAGAATCCACTTACCATTAGGTGGACTATGTGCTCTTTTGTCAAACTTATCCTTTCCTGATCCTTTCCTTCCTTTGTGATATGAGCTCATGCTCATGTAAAAAACAGTCCAGAAAGTTAAAGGCGAGTCACAAAATAAGAAGACAAGCAAAAAATCACAAAATTGTACTCAATAAGCTCCCGAAATGGTGGGGGTCTTGTATATGAGTTTGTTTGCCTATACAAATTTACGTTGACAAAGAAAAAATAATTAACTTGTTTTATTCATGATTCATGTAATTTAAGGAATCTTAGAAATAAAAATTTTATTAAAAAATTCTTAATACATTAATGATTCGATTATTTTAATATTTTTGTTGATTATTCGAATAACAATTAATTTTAATCATCCAAACACTGCGGAAAAGTACATTATATTTTTTTAATATTTTGCTTTGTTTGAAAGATTCTAATTTAAATTAGTGATAAAAAACTATACACGTTGTAATGAAATATAGATAATTTCATAATTCTTCGGATTTAAGTAAAAGGTTAAGAGTAGTACGCGTACGCATTACGAGTACGCATGTGCAAAGTTATTGCGGAATGATCAATATAAAACGTCAAAATGTATTTCTTAGATTTGGTAGACTATAATAAATATTTTTTAATTTTATTTTACAAATACCCTATTACATAAACTTAAGATGGCCGTGTAGTGGCGGTTGAGAATATCCACTACCCCATATCTTCCCGTGGGTGTCGTAAGAGGCGACAGAGGGAGACAGGCAGGAGATGGGCAGCAGCATCTTCCTGATAACAACTGTGTTATAATAAAAAACTGCGGTTGCCAACCCGCTCGCCAAGCGTGGCAACTATGGCAAATATCCCCCCATGAATAACGACTCAAAAAAGTCCAGCCAGTCCATCGTTAACTTGCTACTTAACTCGCTTATTGCCGTTCAAACGAGGTTCAAACTTAACTCACCAGGTTCGCAAGTTAACTCGCTACTGTACTTGTCTAAGTGTAAATCGGTCTTAACAGGAAGAATGATGTAGGAAGAGTGATGAAGAATGATGAAGAAATATGCCCAGAAGACTGATGCAATTCGAAGAGTTGCTCTTGCCAAGGCTGTCCAAGAGAACTTCTGTCAGGCATCTTTTCCTATGCACAGGGATGACGACGCCATGCCGCAAAGAAGAAAACAACTCGACACTCGATGACGGGGGGATTACATCGCCGGCCATCGTGAGTGTTACACGCTGAATATGCAGTTTACATAGCGCTCGGTTTGCAAAGCACTCCTGTCCCTGGACGTCAACAAGTCGAGTGGGCCTAATGGAGTCCTTCCCATTGTATTGAAGACGTGTGCTTCAGAGTTGATACAGGTTTCAACGCGTGTTTTCTGGTACTCCTACTCTCAGGGCGTAGTCCCAAATTCATAGAAGATAGTTTTGATCCACCCAATCCCTAAAAAATGCGACCACTCTGACTCGTCCAACTACAGGCCTATCGCCATCACCTCCTTGTTCTCCAAAAGAATGGAATTCGTTATAAACTGCCAGCTTATGAGGTACTTTGAGGATCACCAGCTGCTTATTGACCGCCAATACGGTTTCCGTCGGGGTTGATCAGCTTGCTCTAGCTACCTGACTCATAGATGGACGAAGGCAGTAGAGTCCAGGGGGAGGCAATGGCCGTTAGTTTGAACATAGCGAAGGTCTTTAATCGAGTTTGGCACAAAGAGCTTCTTTTGAAGTTTCCTTACTATGCGCTTTCCGAGAAATTGTGCAAATAGATTACCAGTTTCCTTGCTGATCGGAGTATCAAGATCGTAGAAATCGGTGCATGCTCCGATTTCAAGCCTGTTAACACCAGCGTTAATAGACTTGAAATTAGCACCCACAAGACTGCGTGCTGTCAGCAACGTGTTTCATCTACATATCAATGATTTGTTGCAAACCGATAACATTTATTGCTATGCGGACGTGACCGAGTACCGGAACAAACTTGTGTCTGAAGTCGACACTTTCTACAACAAAGACTTTATGTCTGAAGTTGAGACTTTGTATAACAGTCTCGAATTGGAGGCGACTAAATCTACTCCAATTCAATCCCCAGAAGACACAAGTTTGCGCGTTTACCGCTAAAAAGAACTACTTTGTCATATCTCCTTTTCAGGGCACTCTCCTTTTGAGGCGGAGCTGTACGAGGGATACAGAGCGGCGAAGACCGCCCTCCGGGAGGCTGTCATGCGGGCCTGGGATCGGGCCCGTGAGGAGATGCTGGAGACTCTCGACAGAGATCCGTGGGGGTGCCCTTACAAGATGGTGCGGGATAAACTCCGCACCTGGGCCCCCCGCTGACGCAGAGTCTCAGGCCCCAGCTCGTGGAGGACGTGGTGAGCGCTCTGTTCCCTGCGCGAGGGGGAACATCCGCCCCCGCCTATGGCTCCGCTACCTGCGGTGCCGGCAGCGGACCACCAGGACGACGACGACGACATCCCGGAAGGGACCGGGGTAGACCTGAGAGTGGCGGTACGTAGGCTCAAGGCCAGGAATACCGCCCCAGGACCCGATGGCTTGCCTGGCAAAGCCTGGGTCCTGGCCTCGGAGGCTCTCGGGCCCCGACTGGAGGGGAGAGAGGCCAATTCCAGCTTCATTGGAAGACGGGGAAGCTGGTCCTCATTCGGAAGAGTCATTGCAAACCACCTCGCCGAGCACCTTGCGGGGACGGGGCCGGATCTTCCGGAACACCAGTTTGGTTTCCGCAAGAGGTGCTCTACGGTGGACGCTATCATGTGCGTGAAAGCCCTCACGACGGGGGATGCAGTGGCCATAGGGGGAGTTGTCTTGGCGGTGTCTCTCGACATCGCCAACGCCTTCAACTCCATGCCCTGGAGCTGCATTAGGGAGGCACTCCGGTATCACCGGGTGCCGACCTATCTCCGTCGTATAGTCG